AGTGGGGGAGCTTGAATAGGATGCCTGTGGAGACTTGAGGAGCTAAATAGCATCTATACCTCATTCAGATGCGTACAGGAGATCCAGGAATGCCAGTTGAACTTAGGTATATAAGACTGTGAACATGATGTTAGCTATCGCAGTTGGCTGTAGTGCTAAGATGTGGAAGGAAATAGGAAACCATGCTGTTATATCATCCACATATGCTCATGATGACTAGGCAGAAATATGAAAAGGCCTTCAGTCTCTGGAAAGCTTCATAGCCAAGCCCTGAGTTCTTCTCTGGTGTTCCTAAAGGTTTCCCAGCTTAGGTTCTTTTCTGCTAAAGTAAGGAGACAATGGAAGGCCCTAGCAAAGGAAGTGTACCTTGCCCCACTGCTACTCAATTTCTAGAGGGCAGTCAAAACCTAATCATTTTCAGCTAGGTTCCTGTTGCTGTTTCAGTCAGCATATTATATACTGTACTGCCTTAATTTTATATCTACAACTATAATTTGATAATTCTCATTACAACAATATGCTGTTTAATACATTTGTTATTATTAACTAAATTTCTACCCCATGTTTCTGATACTAGGCTGTAATCAAGGCAATTTTCAGTAGTGATCAAATGCAATTAAAACAAGAAGAAACAAAAACAGTAATGTAATCATTAAAATCAAATAAAAACAAACACAACCATTAAAATTAGTTACATTTTTAATTTGTTGAAACTATCAATATAAGTTATATTGTAACCCAAATTTGCAAGTTACGTCTTCACACCCTTTCTGAAAGCAGTAAGAGTGGAAACTGATTGTAAAATCTTTGTGGAGTGCATTCAACAATCTGGGAGACACACAGGAGAAAGGTGCCTCTTGTGTGCCTTTCAAACAAGCCTTGGAAGCTGTTGGTGCTGTTAAGAAGAACTTTAAAGAGAGTCCTTTCCTTTAAGGAATCATTTACCACCTCCTTTATCCATGGCATCAGTTCCATCTTGGCAGATGTGATTAGCCAGGAGGGACATGGTTTCAAGTAAGCAAGTGGTAGTCTTTACCATTCCTAACACCCGTTCCACACCCTCAAGATTTACAAGCAGAAAAGAATCCAAACTATTGAGATGAGAATCTCCTAAGTTACATCAACTTGACATACTGCTGTTTCAAGGTAAATCTAACAGACTTTGCCTGCAAAATGCATAGCAAACTGCTGACAGCAAGTACCTGCAAGTACATTCAAGAACTTCAAATCCATCAAGCACTTGGGGCAGACTATCTGAATGTGGAGGCTTGTACCTGCTGTCACTCTAAAACTAATCAGATGGTGATTTGTCCATCAAAACTCCAAGTTCAGGTGATTAACTTCACAAGAGAATATTGAAGAAGCCTAAATGAGCTACTGGTGCAAACCCATTTCTATCAGCTTCTTCTCACCCAAATGTTTGAGTAGCTGCAGGAATTGGAAAGAGCTCTCAAAGGTTCTCTCCAAACTGAGAGAGTAAACATTCCAGTGGAAAATGTTGTTTAGTTTAATACAGTGAAGCATATTGGGACAAGCGTTATGGCGTTGCAGTGACTGAACAGGGAAGAACCTTGGATACTAAGTGGGTGCCTTGATGAAAACACGGACATTGTCTGTGGAAGATGATAAAGGGGGGGGGGAAGCATTTGGGGCATAATTAGAAAGGAGTAAAAATAAAATAGTGGATACAATAATGCTCTTAGACAACTCTGGTATGTGGCTACATATGGAATACCATGTATAATTGAGGTCAGGAATGGATTTACAACAGAGACTGGGACAGGCTAGTACAGGAGAGGGAAGGGAAGGCATCCTAGTTTTAAGCTGTTTGTGGATTTAGAAGTAATCACCTTTCACTTAGAATTCGGCCCTGAAACATGTTGGTGACTAGTACAATGTTGACAGGACAGGTATTATATGATCTATGGGCAAATGTCCACCAACATGCTTATTACTGGATTTGGGACAAACTGAAGATTCTGAAGGCTCTTTAAAGGACACATTGCAATACTCTAGTACAGATGTAATTACGACATGTATTACCACCTCTGCTCTCAAGAATGGTTTATTTATACATTGCAATACTCTAGTACAGATGTAATTATGACATGTATTAGCACCTCTGCTGTGTTGTCAGCAGTGAATTGTCTGTGTGTTTTAACAGGAGTGCTACAGTAGCCATCCGCCAAAAAGCTGTTCCTTGCATTGGTGAGACCTTTTTTTTTTGCTCACAGTGCAGTCCTAACTTCCTTAGATGACCACAGGAAGGAGAAGTAGGAATGGCAGCAGTGACTCTATCAGGGGAAAGAAACAGGAACACCCAACCCTTGTGCCCTCTAAAAGGACAAGGGAGATTTTTTAATGGTCTCCTCCAAGTTTTTTTTTCCAAGACAGCTGCTCTTGGGCCTAAACCATCATCTTCAAAACATAGAGGAATTACCCTTTGACTTGTAGAGGGTGCAAGTGGCCTTTTTGAGCCCCCACCCACCATGCCAACTGTAAGGAGGAGGATCCCTCCAAAGTTTGGAGCTGTGCATTTGTTACCCTGGCTTTTTGAAAATTGCCTAGCCATGGCCGACAGTCACCTTTGCCTCTTCCTAACATTTATAATTTAACCTGTTGAAACACAAACCAGAATATATGCTCTAGATATCTCCAGTTTTCTTGAAACCACCAGTTTGCTAAGTATTTAAACTACCATATTTTTCCATGTACAAGACTTTACTTTTGTCTAAAATCTTTAGACTAAAAATTGAGTGTCATCTTATACATGGAAGTTAGCTGAGGAGAGAACCAAAAAGGTGGAGGGGAAAGGAGAGATCAAAGTGATCCTGCAGGGCTTTGATCCCTGCTTTCTGGTCCACTTGCTAAGCCTTAGCAAAAGGGAAACAGGGATCAAAGTGCTGCAGGGCTTCCCATGGGGAAGGATCAAAGCTTGTGGCTGTATAAGGGGGAAAGGAATCAACATGATTGTGCTGTCATGGAATTGCTTTGATCCCCTTCCCCCTCCTTTTGCTAAGCCACACAGGGCTTAGTACAAAGGGAGAAAGCAGGGATCAAAGCCATCCTGCAGCACTTTGATCCTTTTTACCCTACATTTGCTAAGCCCCACATAGATTTCTTAATTTTGGTTTAGAAAAATGGGGTGGGTCTTATACACAGAAAAATATGGTAGTTTACAGGAATACCTCAATGAGAACAGCAGTTGTTTATGAAATTATGAATCCACATGCTTCAGCTTAGAGTTAATGAAGAAAACCAGGGTATGATTCTTGCAACCCATCATCTTTGTCCTCGGACCTGATCAGCCTCAGGGATCAGGACAGAGGAGGTGGCAAGGCTCATAATGCAAAATTGCAAGTCTGGGCAGAGAAAGTATTTTCGGTCAGCTTTTTACAAGAAAACTGAGGCCAGAAACAGAAGTTAGAGATAGCCCGTAACTAGAAGAGGGATAGTTTAAACTAATGTGGGTGTCTGAGAGTTATAGCATGAGCTTCTCTCACCTCTGGTATTATACAAATTAACTTGCTTTGTTTCGTGATTGGTCTACAAAATTTAAGCACAGGATTCCTGTGAAGTCTGGTTTCACAAAAAATTGGAAATATCACCCCAGCCATCTCTCAGAAACCTTAATGTGCTTTCTGTTCTAGTTATAGGAGCCCTCTGATATCTGTTTATAATTTTAGTAATTTACTGTATTTTTCTGTGTATAAGATGCACACATGTATAAGATGCCCCCCCACTTTTCTAATCCAAAATTAAGAAATCTAAGTGGGGCTTAGCAAGTGTAGGGGGAAAGGGATTAAAACACTGCAGGATTGCTTTGATCCCTGCTTTCCCCTCCACCTGTTCTTGTTCTCCCCTCAGCTTACTTCAGTGCATAAGATGACACTCAATTTTTAGTCTAAAGATTTTAGACAAAAGTATAGTCTTATACACAGAAAAATATGGTATGTTCTGTGTTTGCTAATGTTTTATATGGTTCTTTCAGATGGGTTGTGCACACATAGGATAATTGGATATTAATCCACATGTGGAGCTTCATCCAGATGTGAACATTTTAGCTGCCTACATAAATTTTAATTGGACAGTGGAGTAAAATTTATTAAATTAGAACCAGAAACAGTGGTCAAAATCTGGGTCTTTGAAATACATAGTTTTTCCTTTTTAAATCTCTGAAAACTGGCAGCAACTTTAAATTAAATCTTCACTTTTCATTTTGAAAATATATAAATGTAAGATTCAATGCCTCAAAATACATGCAGAATTCTTTTTTTGTGTGGGAGTGACGTGCATGTGGTGTTTTTGTATTTTTTTAAGGCTGAAAAGCACAGGGCTCATCATGTGCAAAGTGTGTTTACTGTATGAAGGAAACACTGCCCCATCTGTCTGGAAACTAGAAATTTCCCAGAAACTGACACCTTACACTTCACCGGCACTCTTCCCAGCCCCTATTTGCCAGCGTGAAGCAGGATTAGCTCAGAAGTGTATGAGAGCCAGCTTGACAGGAAATCACATTATGGATGGCAGAGGCTGTTTGGATTTTCTGTGCAGCAGTGTTTTAGATACCAGCAGATACCTTGTTCTACCTAGGTCTCAGCCTGGCTTTCAGACAGCAGTTTCAGAGCAGTAATCAAGAATTGGAAAAACTGAATCAATGTCTTCTTCCTTTCCCTGGCACTGGCATGGCCATTTGTGCTTCACAAACGAGAACAAATCAGGAACTTTCCACCTTCCGGTATTTAGAAACTTTGAGAGCTTTGCTACATAATTGTGTTGCAACCACATGCTTCTGCAGAGTGAGTTCCTCCAAGCATTGGGAAATGAACAGATGAAAGGAGCAGCCCAAAACCTGGTCATAATTATTTCTGAAGTGTGTTCCTGGTGAAAAAAATTATATTGAGATTTGAAAGAGAAACTCATAGCTGGATAAATAAAAACCAAGCAGGCGATTTCAAGAAAGAACGAGCCAGTTTGTATGAGGAACTGTGATTCATGAAAAGATTTTTTAAAAAAAAACTGGAATATTGTGGAAGCAGAAGGAATAGAGCTGTATCTGTGGCAGAAACTGATCGTGAATTACAAAGCAATTAGTGGGTGAGTTCTCTTCTGTTGCTTAATTGCAATTTTGTCTTTCCTTCCACCAGAGAGCCATTCCAGACACAGGTGTAGAATCCTAGGCACATTTTCACAAAATTCAGTCTCCTGCTGTGAATAATGACTGTTTACTTCCAAAATTGGTCAAAGGACAGCTGTCTAAATTCGGCATAGAAAATGCTAGGAACGTTTAATCTGTAACAACCTTTCATGTCTCTTTCTCTCTGTGAAATAATAGTTGCAGTTTCAGGAAAAAGATGACTACAAGCATCCCACCAGTGACAGAGTTTCTTCCTGTCTAAAGGCTGCAGTATGCACAATTATTAATCAACAGTCATATCACTAATGACTGTTGTATAGCATTTATGCTTTCAACCGACTTGTCAGGAATGTTTCATTCCTAGCACTCCTAGCGCTACCAAGCAAAAGAGAGTGTACCCTTATTCCCTGTCTCTCTTATTTTCCTGTATGCGCTAGCAATTGTTGAATTAATTCTAAAGAATTCAACTGCACTTCATAAAAGCTTATGTCAAAGAAAACTTTCTAGTTTTGAAGGAGCAACAGGATTCTTTGTTGTTTTGATGCTCATGGAATGTTGCTGACTACCTGTGAGAATCCATCATATCCTGTAGCTTAAAGGTAGACGTGCACACTACAGCAAACAGTGATGTGGCTTTGTTCTTTTTCAGATTTTGCATCATGTGGAGAACAGAGACTTTTGTTCTCTTCTTTCTACTGTGTCTAAAGAACCTCATGAAAGCAAATGGCTCCTGCTACTTAGAACAGTCCCAAAGTCAGTGTGTTTGTTCAGTGAAAGATCTAGAACAGACAGAGATCCAGACCTTCCTGACATGCACAATAGCCTCCATATATGAGCTTCGAGGAGGAAACCTCACACGTTTCGGGAATTTTTCTGGAGTTGAGCCACATCCACAAATAATTGAAATCTTGGAAAACCTGCCAGTACAAAAGCTCATCTTCACAGATGTCATTGTGCCAGAAATTCTCTTGCCAGGAGCCTTGGCTTTTGTTTCCCACACTCCTCTGGTTTCAGCACTTGAATTTGTAAACTGCACCTTCCTTAGAGCTGCCCATTGGCATACCAGAAACATACTCTGGCTAAAGATTTCTTCTTTGCGCTTCCACAGAGTGATTGCTGACCCCCTGGATGACAGATTTGACATCTCAAGCTGGAGAAGCTGGCTTGAGAATTTAGAAAATTTGACCATCTCAGAGTCGCAAGTCACATCTATCCCTTGCAAAATTGGTGTGGTGTTCACAGCATTGCATTTGCTCGACATTTCAGGAAATCGTTTTCAGGACGAGAGCCTAAGCTCATCATTTTGTGAAGGTGCTTTCCCTCAGCTCCAGATATTAAAACTGAACCGCAACAATCTGACTTCTTATGAGACTGTGTGCCGGACTCTTAGTCATCTCCGTACGCTCGCTCATTTAGACCTAAGTCAGAATAGCTTTCCGCCTGACCTGCTCTCTTCCCCTTGCACATGGCCACAGTCACTTCGTATTTTTAATTTGTCCAACACAGGATTACAGTACATGGACAAATCTCTGCCCCCAAACATTGAAATATTAGATCTCAGTGCTAACAGCATTTTGACTCTCGACCTCTCGACCCCTGGCTTGAAAGAACTCTACCTGTCCAAAAACAGGCTGCAGACGGTCCCACCAGTCGAGGGGCTTCCTAGTTTAGAAATTCTCACTTTGGATCAAAACCAGATCCCTCGGCTTCATAGTAAGGGCCTACTGCTTCTGAAAAACCTACGTAGCTTAAAAGCAGGCCTCAATCTCTATAATTGTTCTTGTCGCCGGTATATCCAAGAAATCCAGGATTTGGCAACTCAGAGGACAGACTGGCTCCAAGATTGGCCTCATAACTATATTTGCAGGTCCCCTCCTCAGTATCAGAACTACCTCCTGGATGAAGTGCCTCTTTCATCCCTGCAGTGCAACAAGGCTCTGGTCAGTCACGGGTCGGTGGTGAGTTTGCTGATATGCCTTCACCTGGTGCTTCGTTGGCTTCCAGTGTAGCCCTTTTCAAACATTACTTTGAAACAGCGCTAATCCTAGGCTCACTGCCTGACATGGAGACACCAGTGTTTTGTAGTATAAATCAAGAAAACAGAATTGAGGGGATGATTTGAACCTTTTTAAGAGAAGGATGTGACTGCAGAACTTGTAAAAAGAAAATGGTTATACAGTATTAGAAGATGCTATGCTGTTATGGTTATAATTGTTGTGTGCATGTACTTTCTCCTGAAAAAGCAAGAACTTTATTTTTAAAAGAAAAATAAAAGTTGTATGCATCTATGATTACCCAAAATGCCTTCAGCATATATTTGTGGGGTTTTTTAAAAAAAAAAAAACCTCTGGCTATAGTCCATTAAAGTTCATGCCATAATAAATGTGTTAGTCTTAAAGTGGCCGTAGGATTCTTCATTGCTTTTATTGCAACAGCCTAACACCACAGGCACTTCAGAATGTTTTCCAGTGCTAAATGTTCCAGGCATTTCATGTTCTTAACAGAGCGCTTCCTCACCATTATAATTGGAGAGCGTATCTTTGATCCTTGGCTGTTTATGTTTAAGAATAAATAAATCATGACACTCAGTAACACTGCATTCACGAAAAATATAAATGTATTCGCTTCAGAATAGCTTTGGGACTAGAAAAAGGAAACAATTCAAGACACAAATTGTACATTCTAACTAACCTTCACCTACCTTCAGTTAGCACTATTGTGCTGATTTTGTTTTGCAATGAATGCTCATTTAGATAATAACATGTCATCACTGTTGATCCAATACACACCATATTCTCCTCTAGGAATGTGAACGATTGGATTGTTCTCCCCCATTTTACCAACAGTGAAACTGAACAATGGCAGAAAAGGACATTGATTCACTGTGAATATATAATTTTTATTCTTTTCAGTATTGTGTGTGTGTGTGGGGGAATTTTGACTAGACTAAACTAAACTGCCTGACACTCCTCATGAGTTCCACTTTGCTTCCTCTCTCCTCATCCCACCAACCATAACTAAACTGCCTGACACTCCTCATGAGTTTCACTTTGCTTCTTCTCTCCCCATCCCACCAACCACCAGCACCCCTGCACACACTTTTCTGCATGGACCCAAGCAATGACATTGCTGAACCAATGCAAATGCCTTCACTGTCAAAAAAGTAGAATCCTTGGCAGAGGAGGAAATAAGTATAGATCGGATGGGAAAGACCAGGCTAATTTGCATTGACTTGTACATTATATAGTCAACAGAAAATAATACAGATCTGGCTGTATAATCCCAGAGTATTTCCCGTATTATCATTGTAATCCCCTAAGTGACCAAGGTTTGTTGTCAGAAACTTGTAAGAAGAGGAGAAGAGAAGCCAACATTTCCCAATATATACTTCTTCAGTGTTGTTCCCCACCCCACCCCCTGGCTTCTGACTGCCAGAGTCTGTTCGGAAAAGCTCTCCTTTGTTTCCCTGAACCACGAGGCAAGAAGCAGTGCCACACATGTGGTCACTATGGTGCCTGCCGCACTACGAGAACTACAGCTATTCTTCCTCCTCACACCTATGCTGTATGTAGAGGAACTGGTAAAATATATACTGCATTACATTGTAAGATTGTGATTTTAATGCTGGTTGTTATTCTTTCATTTCTGCGAGCTATCAAAGAATCCGTACTATTGGGCAGCCTGTACAATATTCATATAGTAAATAATTAAATAATGCTTGCGCTCTCAGGAATTTTTTAGCCCTCATAGTGTAATGGCTCTTCTTTTGAGTGAGTCTCTCATGCAAGCAGCAAATTGGTTTCTGTTCCTTCTCCCTCAGACTCTGCATTTCTGGCTGTCACATAAGCCATTAACATCCTCATCTCTTCCATGTCTGTTTCAGCTTCCCTTTTATTTTATTATGATTTTTAATTATTTTCCATCTAGCCTGATGAATAGTTCAGGAGAATTCAAAAAGTTGCACATACTGTAGTTCTGTCTCTCTTGTGCCTGTATTTGGATCTAATCTAGATGTTATTATAACTGTTGCTTTTGGCTTTTTATCTCCTGGACCAGTAAGGTTACATTCTCATTTTGTGTTATTGTCTGGTCCATTCAGTTTCAAGATTAGACATGTTGGAGAAATAAAAGCAGCAGCATTTTTTATATCCCATTTTCATTTGCCTGCTTACAACTGGTTATATTTCATTCATGTGGAGCATCCCTTCAGCCTGGGAAGCTTTAATCTGGCAGGGCTCAATTGGAATGAAAGAATAATGCATTTGGCTCGGGAGAGGTGAGAGAGGGAAGGAGGGAAGAAAACAATGTGTTTTTGTGCAAATGTCCACACATGCTTCTCACAGTCTTTTCTGGACAAAGTGTTTTGGAAAATGAGAGAATGACTCTTGAAAGGAAGGCTGCATGGGTCCTCATTCCCCCCATGGGCAAGGGAACAACAAAAGGCCCTGTGGGTTTGTTGGTGCAGTAAATGCAGAAATTTATTCCAGAATTATGAACAATAGACAAGTTGACTTCACTGTCTTTCCCTTTTCCAAGCCCTATTCTTCCTTAGGTCCAAGTCTCTTATAGCCTGGTGGTTAAGACTCACTCCCCAAGTCCTTCAGTCTTTACTCCCAGTCCTTTAATGTCTTTGCTCCCTCTCATGTTCTTCCTTAGCACAGAGGTCTCTTTTGAATCGGCACTCCCTTTGCGAGCACCATAGTTGAGTTGGTGTAGGTGGGGTAGGGCTAGGCACCTCTTCAGTCAGCTCAGTCATTCCCCTTGAAGGTTCAATGTCCAGCAAGTCTAATAGTTCTCTAGCACAACCATAATGGACTCGCTGGGCACTGGTGTATATAGGATATTCTTGAGTGAGCCTAGTACACTCATACTAGGAGAGGACCTCCAGATGCTGCCACTCCTCCCCAAGTGTTCTCCTACTTTTCTGACTCCTGGGATTCCTGGAGCTTATCATGGTTTGGATAATGCCTGAGTGAAGGATGCCACGCTTAACCCACAGGTAGGCTGGTAACTCTACTTTTCTGACTCCTGGGATTCCTGGAGGTTTGTGTAGCTACTGAAACAGTCTCTTCACAGAGCTTATCATGCTTTGGATAATGCCTGAGTGAAGGATGCCATGCTTAACCCACAGGTAGGCTGGTAACGGAGGGGGTTGTGGAGAGCATCAAGATCAATTCTTGCCATGGGCTGATGGCCTTCCACTCATGAAGATAGTCCAGGAAAGGAGAAAGTGCCAAAGCAGGACTGTAGTTGTGTTAAGAATACAAAAACCATGACTACAGAAGTACACAAATTTAGCGTTGGCAATTAAGAAAGTGAACTAGTTAGAGATTGTGCATACCTTGGTTTAATCATCAATCCAAATGAAGTCTGCAGCCAAGAAATCAGAAAACTGAGATTCATAAGGGCAGCAATGAGGGAATTAGAAAATATCAAATGTAAGGATGTGTCAATGGAGACCTAGACCAAGATTGTCCACACTCTTGCATTTCTGATTACAGTGGTGCCTCGCATAGCGAGGTTAATCCGTTCCGGATTAACCTTCGCTATAGCGAAACATCGCTGAACAGAACAGGGAAAGCCATTGGAACGCATTAAACATTGTTTAATGCGTTCCAATAGGCTCCTTTACTCACCGTTCAGCGAAGTTTCCTATGGCCGGCAGCCATTTTCACGCCCTCGGAAAGCGAGGGGAGGGCGCGAAAATGCTGCGCGCGGCCATTTTGGGGCTTCCGGCAGCCATTTTGTCTGCCGAACAGCTGATCGATGGGGCTTCGTTTTGTGAAGATCGGTAAGCGAAACACTTACTGATCTTCGCAAAGCGAGTTTCACCCTATCTAAAAGTCGTTGAGCGATCGCATTAGCGATCCCAAAAAAGGGATCGCTATGCGATTTCGTCGTTGTACGGTGCACTTGTTAAGCGAGGCACCACTGTACTATGTATGGGTGAGAAAACTGGACAACTAAGAAAGCTGACAGAGAAAAAAATAGTGCTGGACGAGAGCTTTGTTGATACCTGGGACTGCCAGAAAGATGAACAAGTGGGTCCTAAAGCAAAGCAAATCTGAACTATCTCTGGAAGCAAAAACGTTGAAACTGAAGCTGCCCTACTTTGGGCACATCATGAAAAGGCAGGGTTCTCCAGAAAAAAACAATAATGCTGGGGAAGGTGGGAGGCAGGAAGAAAAGTGGAAGACCAAATATGAGATGGGATGATTCCCTAAATGAAGCCACAGGCTTGAGTTTACAAGAGCTGAGCAGAACAGTTCAGGACTGAACATTTTGAATATCATTCATTCATAGGGTCGGTTAGCGATCCCAAAAAAGGGATCGCTATGCGATTTCGTCGTTGTACGGTGCACTTGTTAAGCGAGGCACCACTGTACTATGTATGGGTGAGAAAACTGGACAACTAAGAAAGCTGACAGAGAAAAAAATAGTGCTGGACGAGAGCTTTGTTGATACCCGGGACTGCCAGAAAGATGAACAAGTGGGTCCTAAAGCAAAGCAAATCTGAACTATCTCTGGAAGCAAAAACGTTGAAACTGAAGCTGCCCTACTTTGGGCACATCATGAAAAGGCAGGGTTCTCCAGAAAAAAACAATAATGCTGGGGAAGGTGGGAGGCAGGAAGAAAAGTGGAAGACCAAATATGAGATGGGATGATTCCCTAAATGAAGCCACAGGCTTGAGTTTACAAGAGCTGAGCAGAACAGTTCAGGACTGAACATTTTGAATATCATTCATTCATAGGGTCGGTATAAGTCAGAGGCAACTTTATGGCACATAACAAACAAATAAACAACAACAGCGTTACTCTAGGAATAGCTGCTAGGAGCTGACCTGGCTAGACACAGCGATTAAACATTAACAGTAATTCTATCAGTCCAAGTAATGCTATCTGCTTCGCACAGCTGTCATGCCAGAAGAGCTGGGCAAAGGAAAACGAAATACCGTCAGCCATGGATGCCAGGCAGGTGAGTTCTACACAGAAGAGCCAGGCAAACCTGTGAAGGCAAAGGGGATATTGCAGAGAAAGCTCCTTGCTATTACACCCTTCCTGCATCAAGCTCAACATTTCCTTCTGTCTGAGTCAATGTCAACATGGGAAAAGGCTTGCGACCAGGCTGTGTGGCTGACTGCCACTCCTAATGCATTTTTTGCAAAGTGTTGACTCTCATAATTGATGCTGGGAATTGAGGCTTCACCGTCGTCTCTGCTGTGCTTCCTTACAGGCCAGAGAGGATGTGCATGTCCAAGCAGCTCTGGGAATTCGACAGATGACAGGTACTCAACCCAGGGGGGCAGAGATCCTTCCGTAGGGGATTTCCTGCATAGCACCTGAAAAATGGTCACACTCTAGATCCCACTCTAGATCTGTCATAATGACTAATTATGCAGTGTACAGGCAAAGATTCAAGGCATATCTTATGATCTTTGAATGTGAGAACAAAAAACATTGCGTTATTGGTGGGGGAGCTTGTTGTTGGGACAGAAATAGTCCTGAAGGGCATCCAGTGAAGTATGTGGTCAAGAAGGAATTTAGAACAGCAAGGAAGGAGTAGAAAAAACAGGGGAGCCATTCACTTTGTACCAGTTTTGCTTAAGCAGGGGGTTGCTGAGGAGCTCGGCAGAAATGCAGAACTTTTAGGATATGGCTCTCTGTTTCACCACTGCATTCTTCCCGGTCATTGCTGTCATCTTTCTGGATGGACTGTCTTGTTCTGTATTTGTTTTGTAGAATGCATGTTTGCTGCAGGTTCCCTTGTTCACTTCTCCCTCCCTCCTGCCTTCTTTCTTCGGTACACCTAACATGTATGCTCCTTGACAAGCTTTGATCCACAAGCTGTCTGTGTGTCACAGCAGGACTCAGCACCACACAGAGACCTTTATGTGAAATGGGATGTGGCTGCCTGTCGGCTGCACTTCCAGGACTTCAGCCAGGAACCTCTCAAGATACAAAAGGCAGCTTCATAGTAAATCAGCTTTTAGACTGCTTAGTGTAGGGGGGGAAATCACAATAAAAATATTTCAAAAGCATGGTGTAATATCTTTCACTTGTGAAACTCTTTTACTTACCTTTTAAAACATGCAATGATCCTCCACAGCTATTGCTAATGCTAGGCTAACTACATCCCTTGGTATCCCGGTTCATCTGATATCACTGAGCAGGCAGCTTATGAAACCCTTGAATTGGCAGGGCTTGAAATAAATCTAGCCTTCTGTCCTTAACCAGTGAATGGATCAATTTTGTCTGCCTGATGCACTGAGTCAAACCTAAAATATTTTGCTTTTTAAAGCAAAGCACAGGCACTTTCCATGTATAGACATCAAAACAGACTGTCAGGTGAACCCTGCTTCAGCACAGTGACAGGACAGCGTTGCCAAAGCACAGGCACTTTCCATGTATAGACAGACTGTCAGGTGAACTCTGCTTCAGCACAGTGACAGGACAGTGTTGTACCTAAGGCAGCAGGCCAGCTTGCTGTGTGATACGTTCTCCTCTAATAGCTGAGGGGCAGCATCTTCAGCCTGAACCAGTCGCCCTCCTTTGTCTAATAAAAAAAGGCCAATTCAGTTCTGGTGTCAGCCCCCAGATTTATCAGCCAAACTCAGAAACCAGCACTAGAGGATACACCCTCCATGTGTGAGACTTTTACAAAAAGTTGAAACTAAGATGTACAGTATTTATTCCTGCCACTGCCATATTAACTTGTTATTACTGCAGGGTCTGAAACTGTGGTTTCTCCTATGCAGGAACTCCTTCCCCTTGTTGTTTAGTCTTTAACTCATGTCCGACTCTTCATGACCCCATGGACCAGAGCATGCCAGGCCCTCCTGTCTTCCACTGCCTCCCGGAGTTTGGTCAAATTCATGTTGGTAGCTTCAGTGACACTGTCCAGCCATCTCGTTCTCTGTCGTCCCCTTCTCGTCTTGCCTTCACACTTTCCCAACATCAGGATCTTTTCCAGGGAATTTTCTCTTCTCATGAGATGGCCAAAGTATTGGAGCCTCAGCTTCAGGATCTGTCCTTCCAGTGAGCAC